GTTGACGAGGTGAAGCATATTCGCTCTATCGGCAACAAGGGCTCTGTACCTGTTTTATTATGGGCAATAATCCCTTGCGCTGGCGGAACTGCTTGGTCTCATATTAACATGAATCATGACACGGCGAAAGAGAAGGTGAAGCGACATCGATCCATTTACAAAAGAATTTGGTCTGCCTTCGTTGACCTCGTGAACTCAATGGAATTTGCCAAACCGTTGATTGCTATTGAATGGCCCAGGAGTTGCACTTATTGGGACGATGAGGCCGTTGACAAGTTCATTATTCGAAACAATATGACTTCTGTTAAGTTTGATGGTTGTGCTGTAGGTGTCAAAACTACCGATGGGATTCCTATGAAGAAACCATGGACTGTTAAGACCAACATGCATTGCCTCCACAATTACCTTGATGGAAGAGTATGTTCTTGCATTGTCCAACATGCTGAAGGTAGGGGACGGAATCTCAAGAATACTGAATCCTACACATACATCATGACTGACCTGATTCACAAGGCTTTTGCTTATGCAGTGTCGGTTCAAGAGAAGGTTGCTGAAACACGTATACTAGTTGCGACCATGGCTGAAGAGCTGCCTGTTGAGAAGGCCTTGAAAACGGTACGATCGGCATTCTCTGAGAGGCACTACAAAGATGTGCCGCTTGCTCGGATTGACTACGGCTCGGACTACATCCTGCACGATGGGAAGGTGAAGGCCGAGGTTATCCCCGACGAGCTGCGCGTCGCCAACCGAGAGGCTTGGTCAGACATGTTCCGTGATGCGGCAACTCAATCATTCATCGTCAAGGATGTGAACTCCGGTGTCGACCTTGCCAAGATGAGTGAACGTACCGATGCGCTGGCTCTCGCCAAGAACGCCATGTCATCATTGACAGGTACTGCGGGAACTCTCAAAGAGGCTCCGGTTGAGGCTTTCGATGTCCTCTTCTGCCCGGGGAAACCCGCGGTCAACTATCTGTTTTTCGGTGACTCCTTCAATGCGTTGGTCAAAGATGGAGCAAAGACGGATGTTGGCACCATCATCAAGGAGAACAAGCGGACTCTCTTCGGGCACAAGCATGAGGTGTGGTCTGAGATGACGTGGGGAAAAGGGCTATCAGAGTCTCTCGACGCTGCTGAGCGAGCAATGATCAAGCTCGCCGAAAGGACTGAGCCCCGACCTTATGTCATTGTCATTTCGTGGTCCGGGAACGACGTTGTCGGTCGCAATGGTTACATCGACAACCCCGCTGCCCTAGCGGGCTGGGCCACTGATTCCGAGGCAAAGCGGAAGGCGGCAATGGACATCATCGAAAGGAATGCCAGAGCGGTGATGACAGTTCGCGATCGACTCCGCCATATCGCTTTCAGAAATGATGTCGTCCAGGTCGTCCTCATCGTGCCGAGAGACTACGAGACCTATGGGCTGAGTGAATCTTACAAAACTCAGATGGACGGGCACGCTCGATTGCTGCATGGTTCCGCAGGCATCACCGTCCTAGACCCTCAGACTCTTATTTCCAACACGTCTCGAGCTGACCGCATTCACACCGATGACAATGAGCGGAACAGGAAGCACTACATTAGTTATTTTGTAGCTGCTGCCAAGCTCGGGTACTGCATTGGTCAGATCAATCGCTTTGAGATGGCCATGAATTGGTATCGCCTGGAGAGGGAGTACCTGAACATTGACACGTCCATCCCGATCGTTGGCGCTACACACCAGGAAACTGGCGGTCCGGCAATTGCAACGAACCCTGAGGACCCTTTCGACAATGAGGTCCGTGAGAGGGAGTTGGAGGCGATCAACGAAATCGCCGCGCAAGAGCCAAAGCGCGAGATCTTCCTGGAGACTGAAAAGGAGGCAAACCCCCTCTACCCCCTTGACACCGTCAAGGAGGAAGCAAAGATCTTACAGATGATGCAACCCGACATTCACGCGGCGACCGTCAGCGGCCTCAACGATGTGATCGATTGGTCTTCTTCTTCGGATGAGGAGGATCTGATCAGCCTCGACCTGCCCCCTGGCTCTCAGCCTAAGGTCAGCCGGCCGAAAGGCCAGGCCGTTGAGGTTGCCGCAGTGGATCCGAATGACATTGGTGAGGACGGCCAAATCAAGCTCATCCTCACTTCAAAGCGGAAGAGTCACAACAAGATGACTGCAGCTCTCAGTGCTGCGACTCCAAAGGTTAAGGCAAAAGCCATGCCAAAACAGGCTGCCTCATCCAGTGATCAGGCGTCCGTGGCTGGGAGCAGCAAGACTCAGCCCGGAGAGATCCGTGGCCCGGAGATCACCCCCAAGACAAAGGCAGTTTCCAAAGCTGCTGGAAAGCCCGGGGAGACCCGTGGCCAGGCTGCTGAACCCAAGAGGGAGTGGATCAAGTGCTCAGGAATCAAGATTCCCCAGATCCAGAACTATGGCAGAAGGACGTTCTTGAGCAAGAAGGTGTCGTATTTGGTTCGCGGACATGCCCACGAACATGCGACGCGATCCATCCCTGAGATCAATCTCAAGGACAACTCCTTCGACTACGCAGCCGTCGCCAAATGGATCCAACGTCGATATGACTGGAACTGCACCCAATACACTCTTCTTCAGGCCACGTCCACATCGAATCGGTTCGAGGTCTATGTCGAGTACGCGCCGGCCGGGCAGCAATGGAACGGGCTCAGTTTCATGCCGCTACGCATTCGCGCGTTCACCGGCCACAACGATTGGGTGACCGAGGCCAGCGGCTTTGACAATATTCCTGGAGATCCCATTGCAATGGATGTCAATTACACCATTGAGCACGCAAAGAAGGGTGTGCGACCGGGCTTCTGCAAAGATTTCTCGGACGCACGCCGAAAGGCGCTGCCCAAAATCGCCTACCACACGTGCAACATGCAGAATTTCTTTGACATGATCTACATGGGCATCTTTCCGGGCGGAATGGGAGACCGGCAATCCTCGCGTGGTCACGCCTACCTAACGGTAGTGCCTCCTTGGGACAGGCATGGCCGGAAGGCGGGGGGTGCGCGTGCTTACCGACCCATCAACATCGCCGTCGATGTGGAGATGTTGATCCAATTGGGATGTCGGCTGTACGCGCCCGGAGACGGGGAAGCCCTGGTGACTGAGGATTGGATCACGAACAAGATCCTCATTTACGCCTATGACGTTGAATGTGCAAAGTTTATCTGGTCGAATCGCATGTATGTCAGCGTCAGAAGGAATTACCAGGACAGCATCAAGAAGTATCGGGAAGAGACCCAGAAGGGCGTTGTCGGAACCCCAGTGCTGGAGTCGTTCATGGCGAAGGCCGACAAGGAGTGTAAGCTCTATTACAGTGGGCCCCGACAGCGTGCCGCGACATGATGCGGCCCCACCGCATTGGCAATGTGACGAAGGTCAGGGACGTTTACGACGAGAACCTCCCGAAAGAGGAGCAGGTCGCGCTTGAATTCGAGACCGCCCGCTATGGCCTCTACAGAAACTGGGCCCGAGCTGTGAAGCAGCAGCCCGGGGAAACCCGAGGCCGGAGTGGTTTGTGGCAGGACCTGGACCCCAACAAGCAGAAGTCGACCAATTGGCGCTTCGCGGAGGTCATGCACATCCCCGACGTTGAGTGCCCGCGCTGCAAAATCCTCATCCCGGTCGGCACCATCAACTGTTACCAGTGTGACCATCTCATGGAGCGCATGCCCGATATCAAGAAAATAGCCAGGGTCGTCCGATTGCAAGAGATGGCCAACAGCTTGGGCGTGCCGCTTTCCATGGACCAGGTTGAGACTCAGATCTTGACGCAGCGGAAGGATGCGCGAGGGGATCGAAGCGCAAGAGGGGGCCTCGGGATCATGAAGGACATCGCCATGAAAGCAATTCTTCGCAACAAGGAGTACACCACGTTGTACGAGAGGCTGATCAACGACCCCTTCTACGCCTACACTGCCGCGCGGGGAGACCTGACGCCGTCCGCCCTCGAGTTTATCGAGAAGGTGGCACGATGCATTATTCCGAGTTTCGAAAGAACGAAGGAAATGATCCAAGGAAGCATTGCTGTGCCGAAATATCACGCACGGCTCATGCTGGTGCCGCCAACCGAGGACGTGCAGGAGGTTGACCCGAAAGACGTGTATGTGGTGCATGGTGGCAGATTTTTGGCAATTTGCCGCGTTGTATGGAAGCCTTGACAAAAGCAACCGCTACCCCGTGATGGGCTGGACTCGGGATTTCTCGTCGGTTGGAGACCCCGAAATGGTATTGGTTGAGTTGCTTTGCTTCGTCGAAGAGGAGATCCCCGGCATCCAAATCGCTGGACGGGCCACTCCGCTTCCTGCAGTTGTCGGTGTGACGCGCAAGCCCATTCCGCAGCTCCGGGAGACCGGTGGCCAATGGCAAGATCGTCAATGGAGCCAGTCGTACTGGGGAAGCTGGGGCCAATCCTGGGACTCGTGGTGGTCTGATGATCAGCGCCCGTGGAAGAGCTCCCGCAATTGGGATTGGCGATGAATGAGCGATCTCTTCGACAATCTTTTCAATCTTCGGCTGACATCCATTTACATTTCAAATTCAATATTCATTAAACTTCTCAATTCATGTTGGCCGAGGATCAATGTACAGTGCATGAGCACGCCTCGCGAGAGCGACGGTCAGTGGAGTCGGAAGACCTTAACTGCCAGTTGCTCGAATCCAAGTGCTTGTGTGCTGCCAAAGGACTTCATGTCGATCGGGTTTCGTTGGTTATTTCATCCCTTTCATTTGTCCTCCTGTTTCACATTCGGGCACGGGGGGTGTAGTTTGCAACTTGATGTATTTATCAACCAGGTAAAACCCCAATGCATGAATGTCTCACTTGCGCAGTCTCATCATTACGACTGCGTATGGCTCAAGTAAAAAGCGCGCTGTGGACAGGGTTCATTGGTGACCCTTCCCGGTTGTTTAACCTGTTCTATACCAAGCAACTGAGACCTGATCACCCGGACCCCATGAAGACGTGAGCAACCCAAGCGTCCCTGGCTCAGGTCTTCTTGGCGCCGTCGGAGCACCAGCAAGCGGCGCGCCACCTGTGGAAAGCGAACCGCGATGATGGCCTGCGCCGGGGAAGCCAAGGAGGGAAGTCAGCGAAGCCGAGGGAGTTTTTTCTTCTTCTTTTTTTTGGTTCCGAGGCCTTGCATTTGTATTTTTTTAAATCAAGCCATCTCCCTGTTTGGAACCTCCGAAAGTGGCGATCTCCAAATTGATCAACTTCTGATTGGGAAATCCAGTGAGCCCCCCGCCGTGGTCTCATTTAACCAAAGGAGATCCCAACTCCTGTCCACTAATGCCATGGAACCTGACGTCTCAGGGGTGGAAGACAGTTTTTGACACGGAGCCTTTGGTGGTTCCATGTTAGGGGACTAGAGGGAACCAACTCCAGGTTTCCACCAAACATGAGGTGTCGCTCTTTTCTTTCCATTGAGCAAACACGAGTCCCCCCCCCCTCCCCAATTTTATCTCAGCGTTGAAGAGACACTGTGCGTCATCGCAGGCAAGCAAACGGCGTTTGGTGCCAACAACCGTTTCCTGGTTGATTTCCCAAGTCAAGTTAAACCACCCTTCCTGGCTTGGATTGGAGGTTTTGAACCGCTGGCTTTAGAGGGTAAATGGGAAAAAACCAGAGCCAAGTAACGACAACAATCACCAGGCACCAATCCAGTCATTCCTTCCAAAACCCAGCGGCCTGCACCAACCTCCAGCCTTTTGTAGAGGGCAAATGGGACCAACTTCCATCCCATGAGCCAAGCCAGCAGACATGGAATGTGTTGGATGACATCAGTGGGCACCTTTTTCGTTGCCTTGAGTCAAGACCCTCTGCACGCAACGGCAGAGAGAGAGAGAGAGAGCCAAGCCACCCAGCCTTTTGCAGAGGGTTAGCTGGGACCATTTTCCATGAACCAAGCCATTTCCCCTGGACCCCCCGCGTTTCGGCGCTTCGGCCGCCGAGGTCCTTTCCAGCGCCGGGTGGTGCCCTGGGCCTTGGTGAAGGCGGCGGTCAAAGGAGACGTGGACGAGGAGCTCGGCGTGCAGTGCCGGCCTCAGCTCGTGGCGTGAAAAGAAACTGGAACTAAGAAATATATCACACACACACACACTTATACACAAACACACATATATATATATATACATACATGAAATTAAATATATATATATATATGTATATGTATGGTACGCATATATTTACTGAACAAGCCTTTCAACACTGAACAGTACATAGGTGGCCTATCCGGCTTGTGCCGTGTGTGTGACTCACGTGCAGGATGACGCAAAGCCAAGAAGCGGTGCCCAAGCCCAAGACGAAGAAGAGGACGGACCGGCATCTGAGGAAGGGTCTCATTCTCGTCCTTGCGGGGGGACGGGGGACAGGACAGAGGGGCATTCTGGACATGTGGTCTGACTGGCAGCTTGCTGTAGCATGGGATCTAGGCCCGTAGCGCATCCTGCGCCTGCCCGGCCCTTGGGCCCTTGTGCGGCACGGCGTCCGCATGAAGTTCGGCAAGCAACTGGAGAGGCACAAGGTCAGTGGCTGGGATGCCTTCTACGTGGATTATGGGGGCCTGAAGAGATCTCTGAAGCAATGCTACGGCTCGCCCAAAAATCCCGAGGACGGGAATGGTCGATCTTTGTCCGATTTGCAAGGCGGTATTGGTTCCTCAGGGTTTCTGGCTGGACTCGTTTTCACAAAACTTACAAAGTCCTTCAAAGGGTCCATTTCCAACCAACCTGACACCCATTTTCGCTCAGAAGATGGGAGGGGGCTCCCAGCCTTCTCAGCCTTCTGCTCAGGAGGGAGGCTCGAGCGAGGGCTCGCGGATGCTCGCGGAAATCAGCTCCCAGTGGCTGGCGGAGCTGGAGGCTTCGGTGGAGCGGGTCAATGACTTCTTCACCTCTGTGGCGGATGAGGCGTGCGGCCTTTTGGTTTTGGCGGGTTTTTCAGGGGGCCAAAGCTTGTTGCCATGCGTTTTTGGGTTACTAAAATGGGTGGGCTTTTCTTAGGTCGCTTTGAATGGGTTCTAACAAACAGGTTCCGGCTTGCACCAAAGCACACGCATGTGTGTATGGGCTCATTTAAGAACCCCTCCCATTTTTATATTTTTTTGGGGGGGGTGGGTTGGAAAAAATGCAAACCACCTTCGAACATCCCCCTACTTCGAGGCTCGGTACTCTTTGCTGGCTGTCTTAAAGAGAAGCCCGAAAGGAACACCGAAGGCATTCCATTGAGACCGCCACTAAATTTTGCCATAGTAGATCAACAACTTAGCTTACTACTTCATATGTTGTTTCTTTTTGTTTTGACCCAACATTTTAGCGAAAGCAAAAAAACAATACCCATGAAGACCCCGCATCTTTCCACCGATGGGTCGATCCGCCGGGTCGCTCGCAAGGTGGAGGCCCGGCTGGTGGCGGGCCAGGAGGAGCTGGCGGCCCCGAGTGAGCAGTGGGAGCAGCTGAGGCACCACCTGCAGCGCCTTGGCCGGTTTGAGGCCGAGGAACCACACACACACACACATATATATATATATACACAGACATAGACATATAAACACAACTCATGCATTTTTTTTAAAGATTAATATATATATATATATATATGTCTGTATTTTTCAATGTCTAGGTATACCTATATATAGACATATATTTTTGGGTTGGTTTCCTCCTTGCTCCCCGGATGCCCCCCCCCCCCTAAAAAAACACAACCACACAACGCCCAGAAAAGATTCTTTTTTGGAGGCACACCCAAATGAGCAAACTCTCCATACCCAGGAAGCAACGCTTCGAGCTCGTGTCACTCACTTCTTGTTGTAGCAGCCGTGACTACTACCGAAGGATGGGGTTTCACCGTCCAAACGGAAAGTTGCAGGGTTGTGGACTTTTGAGATTGGTATCCAGAGTGGATCAAAGTCTTTGTGGTCTCAAAGCTACCCTTCAAGAAGTGCTACACATGTTTAAGCTCAACCACATTTCTTTTTTGGGAAAAGGTGCGTTTGATTCACAGACACCTCAAAGTAGCCAACATTTTGCTTCTTTGACTTTGCCTCCAGGGGAAAGCCCTCAAACACACATGGAGAAGACACACCTCGTGGCTTTTGGGCCACCGGCAAGGAGCATGGTGGCACAGCTCCACACCACCTTGCTGGACCTGGGCCACTTCGTGCCCTGGACCAATGAAAACCTTGTCGGCCGATGTTTGTCTTTGCTTCTATTTTCTTGGTAGGTCAGGGGCATAGGCTTTCCCGTCATGCCTTCCCTGCCAGGGTCAGGTTCAATAGTTTCTTTGTTAAAGCCAAGGGCATTGCTGCATGAAAAGCGAAAGCATTTTTGGTTCCTAGGCCGTGCACCGATTCCCTCCCCAAGAGCGAAGCACCAGCCTGTCGAAAGTCGAAAGGCAGCGGCGAACCATACGGCCTTCTACAAAATCCTGAAGAAGCACGACAAGCAGCCCCTTGGCTGGCCATCTTGTTTGGGTGTGTGGCAAATCCCGGACCTTTCCGAATTTGTGGTTGCCCGTTGGTTTCCTCCATTGTACCAACCGCAAGCAAGGCAAGCAACTGAGCACCAGCCCAAACACGGACAGGTGAGAGACAGCGATCCCTGAGCCAATAAGCAGAGGTTTCCCCTGTGCGCCAGTGCAGCCCGTTAGTCCAGACAGTCCGGTTTGTTGGAAGTTCCTTTGGTTCATCCAAAGTGATCAACCAACAGCCAACAACCAGCCTGCAAAACACCAGACTTTTTGTTGGTGCTCAGGGAATGACCTTCCGGGTGTTTGGAATGAACTGTTTGGGGGATTCCCTCTAAGGACAAGGGATGGTTCATACATTGTTGTTGTTGGGGAACATTGTACATTTTTGCTTGTTGTGGTTTAGTGCGAAATCCCCACTTAACTGCTAAAATTTAAATTTTTGCTCCCCTTCCAGCGTCAACCAAGCATAGTCATTCCAACTCATCCCCTGCCTATTGAGATGGAGCGCTCGAAACGGACCTCTCCGCCCCCCCCCCCCCCGTAGGACGGGCCTGGCGGCCTCCGCGCAGCTCCTGCCGCAGATCGCGCGGGAAGCCTTTTACGAGCCGGGGAAGCGGCGGCTGGAGGAGTTGCAGCAGAGGCCCCTGGGCGGCTGGAGCGGGGCGTTTGGGCGCGGTTGTTGGGGTGCGAGCGGTTTGGTTTGGGCGGGAGTGGGGTTCCAGGTCAAGGAAAGGTGGAGCCTGGCCACTTTCTGCAGGGCCTAGGGTGTGTCTTCCTTTGTAGGGATTGAGCCAAAGCAAGCTCCAAGTGCCCCATGGCCCATGGCAGAGAGGCTGGTAATCCCAAAGTAAGCGGCTTTTGGTTTTCTTTTGGGCACCATCGGACCTTTAGGATTCGGCAAGGGAACGTCCAAAATGGTTCCTCTCAACGACCCATTTTTACTCATAATCAAAGCCAGGTATCATAGCGGCCCACCCAGAACCACGCAAACAATCAACATGTTGGGACCTCCCCTACTCACCTGCACTGACCCCTTTTGATTCAACTGGAGCAATTGCAAGGCTTCCGTTGACGCGCTCACTTGCAGGCAGGCCGACTTTTGTCTCCGGCTTTTGCGGGAAAGAGTCGGCATCAACAAAATACACGCCTGGGGGGGGAAGCAAAGGCGTTGAACAGACATCAAAGCCCCACGGCCACTGAAATTGACATGAATCAACCAAAAAGGGCTCCGTTTGTTTTCCGCCCTCTTCCCTCCGGCCTCTCCACCAGGCTCCGGGAGTTCGGCGCCCAGCTCGGGATGGAGGACCTCGCCCTGACGCGGCAGGTGGGCGGGTGGGGGGGGCGGGGTCCCTTGGAACACGTCGCAAAAGTGGGTTTTCCATTTTTTATTCTTGTCTGGGCCTCCGATTCTTTTTGGGTTTTTCTCGGGGACTGCAACCCAACAGTTTGTTTCGAGAGCCCCCTCAAGCTGAAAACCACTTTCCGAGGCCCCGGTTTGGTATACCTATGTGTTCTTTTCACGGGGGAAGCCACGCAGAAAGAAAAAGCTCTGGAGGAATCTATGGCTTGCGATCTGGGCCTTCAGATCCCAAAAGGGGTCACACGGGTCGCCGGTTATTCCTTCGGGCGAGCGAAACTCGAAGCCGAGCGATGCGAGGGGCCTTCGGACCACTGGGCCGTGGCGCGGATCGCCTTCTCTCTGGGAGTGATCTCCATGGCGCTGGTGGTGCTGGCGGTGCTCTCGGGTGGGGGGGGGATCAGGGGATGAGGGGAGCTGTGGTTTTGCGGGTTTGGTTGGGCGGAAGGATGGAGGACTAAAGGAAAGAACCAAGTTGCATGAGTTCCGAGCATTGGAAGAGCCCGATTTGAAGGCATGGAGCCCCAGATCCCTCAGTACTCCGCCGAGGACCTGGCAGCTTCTGGGCAGGGAGTGAGGTTGACTCGGGAGGTAACAGTGTGGTGCTTTGGTTTGGTCCAAGGTTTTGTGACGTGGGTTGCACATGGGGCGAGAGAATGAGCAAGCGGAAAGCAACAAGAGCTGGGAGATTGCAGCTCGCGGAAGGTGCCTTGATTTCCTGGCTGATGTTTGAGGGGAGCAGGGCATGGTAAGCCCTCCAGGGTGACCTCTCCCCACAGCTCCCTTTCAGCTTATGCTGCGACGATCTGATGGTTTGCCTGTCTAACCTTACCCCGCAGCCTCAGGCTACGATTCCGGTGCTGCGCCTGTCCTTCATGATGAACCTCACCGCCTGGCTTGCTGGTGGTTGTGCTTGGGTTTTTGAGCATTACAAGATCAACTATTTGTTTCTCTTGGACATCTCTCCGGACCTGGATGTGTCAGCAATGTCACTCTTGAACTACGCTTCTGTCCAAACGGGGGTTTGGATCGTGTTGAGCTTCTGCTTCATTGCAGACATGAAGTTTGGGGCCGTGCTATTCACGTTCCCGCGGATACATCGCCTGGGCTGGTCTTTGGCACACATCTATTCGAGCAGTGTCTTGATCCTTCAACTCGCCATCACTTCCAACTGGACCTCTGCTGCCCATCGCAGGCTGTTTTCAAGACTGGTCGTGCGAGTTGCTTCCTTCTCGCTCTTGGGCGGCGTGAGCTTTGCAGAGAATGTCTTCGCCGACTTTCTCACATCCCTAGGCCGGCCTTTGAAGGACGTCGCGTACACGCTGTGTTACTTCAGAAGCCCAGCTGCCCAGTAAAACAGCTTGTTTCGCTGGGAAGGGACTTCCCTTTAGCTTTCTTTTTTGTCCTTTTCTGGGAAGGGTTTTCACTTCAAAATCAGGCAACACAACAGGCGCTGTTTCATTTTCCCCCGGCTTTGTTGCGGAGGAAACTGGCAGACGCTGCAGGGCCGCGAGATCCGAATACATTGCAAGGAGGACGGTTCGGCTTGGGCTACCTGGGCCCTGCAGTTTGTTTTGCTGCTGCCCTTGTTGTTCCGCATTGCCCAGTGCCTCCGGCGCATGCACGACACCGGGGACAAGCGGCGCCATGGGTTGAACTGTGGGAAGTACTGACCCTTGGTTCCTTTTTTGTACCACCTTTATCCTGTTTCCGATACAAGCCAACCAGACCCCCCAAGAAAAACCAGAAGCGCTTTTTCTTTCCTCCCCAGGGGTCCACAAGAATGAAATCACTCTAACTCGCGCAAACCGAGTCCTGGCCATCGTGGTGAGCACGCTGGCGGTGGTCCCCGCCTGGTTCCTGGGGCTCTCCGAGTTCCAGGCTACGGTCCTCCGGGCGCTGGGCTACTTCCTGGCCACGGTCTACGCGGCCAGCTGGGACCTCGTGGCCCCTCGTCTTTACGGATGGGGTTTCGGGCCCGCACCCTTAATTTTCCCCAAGGTGCGCAGGATATCAACCGCAACGAGGCAAGACGGAGATTGATGTTGGCACGTCCCTTCGATGTTTTGGCATGCGGCTCGTCTTGTGGGGTTTCAAGGCGTCGAACTTTTTGAACAACCAAGGAGGGGATGGGCGAATGGGTTTCCGGTATCTGAGCCAGCTTGTCAGAAGTCCCAAGCCCGGACCCTTTTCGTGGCCCAAGAAGGCCTGCCAACGGATCGTGAGATGCGTCAAGGTTGTCCCTTCATTTGGATTGGATGGATCTGAAGACTTGGCTCTTGTTGAGGCCTGGGTACCCCCTTCGCCCCCTCACCAATCCAAACCAATTGGGAATAACAGGCTGATAGCAGTCTTTGGCCCGCCGAGGGTGGGTTAGGAGGGGTTGCTAGACTTGGGCAAAAGTGGCCAGGTAGTCGGCGGTGGGCGCCTGTGGGGGCCGCAAAGTTAAGGAGCACCAGGACTGGTCGGGAATTTGGCCGGGTCTCTACTTGCTGTGGGATGCTCCTCTTGTCATCTCAAGATGGGAAATTCTTCTTTGTCTCAAGGGGACACCATCAATGTGTTGGCGTCCTGTCGGTTCCACAGACCCATGTTAATACAAGGCTTTGCTAACGCAACTGGGATACCCAATCAGGGGACCTTCCTCTTAGTCACGAATGCTCCATCACAAGGCACCAGGTGACCAGGTGTTCATTGTGAAGCTGGGCAATGCCATAGGCGTGGGGCACCTCTGCCAACGCATCAACAACCCTGAGTGTCTTGGGATGGGCCTATCATACTAGATATCTACAACTATGTAGTTGTATATATATATATATATACATGGCCATGGGTGAAAATCCTGCACTCCCAGTGAACATCCCAATCCCCACTAAAATAGACTAAAATGGGTGCCCCCAAAAGGGTACCCTTGGTTTAGACCCACAGCCACACACACACACACACGCACACACACACACACACACACACACACACACACACATATATATATATATATATGTTCTGGTCCTTCTCCGCTTCCGGGCGCTGAGGTGGATTTCGGCCTGGCGGCGGAGACGCGGTGCTGCCTCTTCCCTCGGTACAGCTATGGCCTCCTGGCAGCGCTGGATGTGCTGCTGCGCAGCACCTGGCTGCTGACCTACCAGCCGCATGGCAGCGTGAGCTGTTTAGGCCCCCTCCCCTCCCCTCCCCTGGCCTCGCGTCCCCTCCCCTCCGTTGAGGGGATAGGCATCAAACAAACACTTATTACGCATCAAAAACGACTTAGTAGGCATCAAAAAGAACTTATTAGGCATCAAAATAAAATCTTTATTAGGCATCAACAAAACTTATGCTCATTCCTATGGGGGGAAGGAAGGAAGGAAAGGAAAGGAAAGGAAAGGAAAGGAAAGGAAAGGAAAGGAAAGGGAAGGAAAGGGAAGGAATCAAGGAAGGAAGGAAGGAAGGAAGGAAGGAAGGAAGGAAGGAAGGAAGGAAAGAAGGCCGCTGATTTGTAGAAGGTTGACAGTGATGGGCTGCCGCCCCCGCCCCCCCCTAACCCCCGCTGATTTTCAGAATGTTTACAGAGATTACCGCACCCTTTGCTGAATCATCACTTCTTCGATCATCACCACCTTTGTTGAATCATCACTTCTTCGATCATCATGGGGGGGGCTGCCGCCCCCCCCAACCCCCCTTGCTGATTTGTAGAATGCTTACAGAGCTTAGCGCACCCCTTGTTGAATCATCACTTCCTCGAACATCATGGGGGGGGGCTGCCGCCCCCCCGCCCCCCACCCCCCCGCTGATTTTCAGAACGTTTACAAAGCTTAACGCACCCTTTGCTGAAACATCACTTCATTGATCATCAATTTCTTTCTTTCTTTCTTTCTTTCTTTCTTTCCTTCTTTCTTTCTTTCTTTCTTTCTTTCTTTCTTTCTTTCTTTCTTTCTTTCTTTCTTTCTCTCTCTCTCTCTCTGTTTTCTTCCTTTTCCTTCATGTTTATATCTCTGTTTTTTTCACTGCTTGCGAAAATGCTTCGCCTGCGTCAAACTTGGCACCGTACATTGCGAAAGTGCTGCGCCTGCCGCGAAATCTGGACCGCACCTTTCGAAAGTCCTGCACCTGCCGCGAATCTGTACCTGACCTTGCTAAAGTGCTGCGCCTACTGCGAAATCTGTACCTGACCTTCCGAAAGTATTGCGCCTGCCACGAAATCTGTACCTGACCTTGCGAAAGTGCTGCGCCTGCCGCGAAATCTGTACCTGACCTGCGAAAGCATTGCGCCTACCTTGCGAAAGCGCTGCGCCTGCAACGAAATCTGTACCTGACCTTGCGAAAGTGCTTCGCCTGCCATCCCCAAAAAGTGTTTTTTGATCCTCTGATTTTTCATTTTTTAAAATCAACGAGAATAATCTTTTTGATCCCTAATTTTTGTTGATCTTCAGAAATAAGTTTTTTTGATGCCTAAAAATGTTTTTTGATCCCTCACCCTCCGTTGAGCCCCTTTTCCACCGCTTGCTGTTGTGAATCGGAGGCCGTAGATGTGTTGTTATTGGACGCTGCATTCTTTCGTTCCACTCACATTGCCACAAAGAAAGCCACCACTCACAACAAACAAGGGGGTCGCGGGTGGGGGGGGGGCAGGCAGCAATTGTCTTCCGGCCGTCCTGAATTTTGTGCGAGGCCGGACTGCCGGGCCTTTGTGGGCGCCTCTACCTTCAACAAGGTGGCGCGCTCGGTTCGCCCGGTTGATGTAGGAGGGCTCTCAAGAGACAGATTTAGGTGAAGAACATGTTGCCCAGGGAAACCTGAAGCTGAGCGCAGGTTGAGGGGCTGTATTTTGTTGTTTCTCACCCAAAAAGAGGCATGCTCTTGTTGACATTGCATCCAGCAAAACAAGTCCCCGTTGAGCGGAAGGTTGTTTGAAGAGGTTTCGGCAGGCAGTGGTAGATCCCCTGTGAAAGGTTGCTTGAAAGGATGAACGACTTGAGGCAGGGCTTGTTTTCCAGGCCTTGTTTCCCCGGTGAGGGATGGAGTCACATTAGATGTTCAACCTTCCCTTCCTGAAGGTGGGTGACTGATCCTGCGGTTTCGACTGAGTACAGGGATTCTCTATGTTGAACCTGCCAGGCAGCATTTGAGTTCTTGGATGCTTTCCGTTCAATAGGTAAGACAGTAAGACTTGTGCACGTGTGCCATGCTTCTGGAGCGATCACCTCTCATGTTTTCCTGTGTCCTTTCGGGCTCCGTACCCTTTTTGGCTCCCGGGAGAGCGCAAGGAACACCTTTATTGAAACCATTGGTTGTGGAGGGCTTGATTGAGCCACGTGCTCAAAACCGGCTAGATGAAGGTGAGCAACAGATACTCCCAAACATAAATAGCTGCGGCCGCCTGCTTAATTCTTTACATGGCTCTGGGTAGACCATTTTAATACCGGGTTTTGATTGTGACTCAAATGGGAAACCAGCCCGAACTAACCACCACACCACCGGGCTCCAAATCGCTTGGAAGCTCGTCCCAGGAGTGCTTCGCCTTCCTGATCAGCACTCTGGCGCCTGGGCGAGCTTTCGGGGTAGGGTTGCAACGCAGCTCATTCGACACGGGCTGTAGCCCCCGATGCAAGCTGTTGCCCCAACAGACTTGCGAAGGGTCCATGATTTGAGGAATGTATTTTGTGTCCAACTAAGTCACTACCTGCCGAGCGGGCCAGCCCAGCCAGCCGTCAGGCATTCAGCCAGCCAGTCAGCCCTAAACAAATCCGAAGCGTACCCTAAACCACCGTTCATTCACGGACCCAAGCCCAGCCCTGAAATATCGCACACGCCCCCTGAAACTCACCCTAGGGCGGCCCTAAACCAACCCTGCCAAAACTAACCCTACCTCAAGCACACACCATCCCCCGTACATCAAACCCACCCAAACCTCATACCCCTAAAGGAGCCCTACAATGAGCCGAGCTCACAAACGTAAAGCATGGCTATCCCTGCTCATCCCTGCTCTAAACTCACCCTAGATCAGACCAACAGCCACCCCCCTGAACCAACGCAAAACCACCTTGCCGGAAAAGCCATCCCAAATCAAAACCCACTCCTGAACCAGCGCTATATCCACACAAACCAACACGAAACACTAAACGCACATCCTGAGTGTAGTTAGTCCTCCTCGGTTGCTGGTACTGTAAGTGGCGTGCGATGCACTTGTTCGAGATTGATGTTTTGTGGGATCATGACTTTGTCAGCTGCCAGTTTGATGGCAGGAACTGATCCGGCGGGGCATCTGGGCAACGCTCCGAATTGAGCACGAGCACCAGAGCAATGCGGGGCGCTTCCGCTCGGTGTGCTGGGTACCTCCGTTGGATCATCGGCGGCCAGTGCAGAGGAAATTGAAGCCTGTGCTCGTGGCTCTGCATGATACAGCTTTGCAGCTCGACAGATGGGGCATGTTTGTCTTGTGGTGGGGGAAGGAGTGATGAGGACCTCAGCTATTTGGAGGCTGCGTCTTGCATACCTGCTTGACCAAAAGCTGAGGCTACCGCAGAGGTACGCCAGTGCGCCGCAGTTAGACTATGTCCCTGGCCTGAGGGTAGGATTTTTTTGTTTTGCCTTCGCTTTGCGCAGTGTAGATGCTTGGCAAGCTGCAGTTGGTGGTTTGGATTAGTGGTTGGGGATTTGAACCCTGGTACCTCAAGCGAAAAGGGGAAGGCACCCCCTAACATCCAAACCACCACCGCTGAGATGCGTGGTGGGTGCATAGTGGTGGGGAAACTGCGCAAGGTCACTGGAGAAGCGCACTGGTGCAGGCTGGCCGGGTTGGTTTCTGCAGTTTCAGTAGTCTTTGGCCCCCCCACACAGACAGAGTTTTGACCGCAGCGCATTGGTACCAACTCCATTCTTGGTGCTTTGCTAAAACGGATGGTGGTAGGTTTCTTCGGCAGAACCCCCCCCCCCCCCCCACTTGTCCCAAGCTTGCACGTCAGTGCTTGGAACTGGTCAGGGAAAGAGCCTCCACTGGCCTCAATACGCAGCTTTGCCAGCAGCTGGATATACAGCTTTGGGGCAATCGCGGCATTTGAGCAATTCGGCCCTAGGATTTTTGACACCCATGGTTAATGAACAGGGGGTGTCGCGCAGAGGCATCCTTTACCCCCATCAATCCGCAAGGTCGATTCGCCCGGAGTGAACGCCCTCGCCTGAAAAGCACTGAGGTTCGATTGGCCAAACTGCGCGGATGGAATCCTGAAACACCCATCAAGCAGGACCGGAAGGGGACCGGAGGGACGGCGATCTTGGGAGCGTTTTTTGTGGACCTCGCCTTGACTGCTATTGGGTTGGATCTTTAAGACTTCAGCTTTTTGGGAAATCAAGGGGTTTTCCACTAAACCCCCAAAAAGTTGAAGAACTTTTTGAAGGGGGTCAACAGCAACCAAGTCGCTTTCAGGAGCGTTGCGCTTCGCTGCCGCAACTGGGATGTTTGACTGGCCCCGCGGGCGAGCTGGCTGCAGAGGCGCGGGAAGAGCTGTCGCTTTATTTTTCTTCTTTTTTTCGGCAGGCGCTCGGCCGCCACAGCCCAGTGACCCGGCCTTGGCCAAATTCGGGCCGCGGCCGTGCAGATTTTGTGCTGGCCCTGCCGGCGGTTGGCATCTTGTGCCTTCGCAGCAAGAAGCTGCAGCCAGGCCGCTGTCTCGCGTTCTGGCGCCTGGGCGGTCTTGCCCCCGCAAACCCAAAAAAGCGACTCCGGCGAGTGTGCAGATCAGGGGCAGAATGAGTGAACGAGTTTCTGCCACCAGCAGCGGGGCCACCGAAAGGAGGTTGTTTCAGCAACTCTTGTTAAAAAAAAAAAAAAACAGTAGCCATGGGAGAGGCGATTTGTGTCACCTGGCGCCTTGCCAGGAAGGGGAGCCCTGCCAAGGGGTCAGCCAAGGAGAAGCCAAAGAAGCCGAAGTGAGGCGACTTGCGCGCAGAAACCCAGCGAGAGGGTGAAAAAGGCCGGGTCCTGTCAGAGGCTTCCAGCTTGGTGTTTGGTTTCTCCCATGGTTGACACTTTGAAAGCGCTGCAGCCTTTGCTGAGATGTGTAGAAGACACAAGATCCGAGCACAAGCTTGATGCATCTAGTCTGGACAGCTGGACACGCTGGCAACGAAGGGTAAGTGTTTGTGCATCCCACACATGACCGCACCTGAGCTTGCTATCTCACGTGCCGCTCGCTTCCAGCGATGGAGGACACGGACGGAGCAGCGGCGCGCCAGCGCCCGTCCCGCCGTGATCGCGAGGCCGGCAGTGCGAGCGGCCCGAGCGGTGCGAACGGCCCGAACGCGCTGCCGGTGTTCTGCCGGGCGCGGCACTTCAACCGCGCCGCCAACGTCTACAGCGTTCCATTGTGGGACTTCACATCGCGGTGGCTGCCTGAGGAGCTGAAGGCCTTTGACTCCCGCCGCAGTGCCCGTGCCACAAGCGGCTTCAAGCCCCAGGATCGCACGGAGGGAAGCGAAGGCAAAGGCGAGGCCGAGCCTGAGGCGGAGGCTGAAGAGATCAAAGAGGAGCCGGAAGGGGCAAGCGACAGCGAGGAGAGCGAAGTCGCGTGGGAAGGCCCTTTGGGCGGTGAGAGCAGGGCTTGGTCCAGAGCTGCCGCAGACGGAGCGCTGATCCTCCTGAGAAGACTGGGGCAGGAAGGCGCTTCGTATGCAATGGGCGTGTCGTCTGCCCTCATTGCTTCAGAGACGGTTGCCGAAGGTGCTGACTCTTCCATGGACAAGCGCCTGGCGGAGATCATCCGCACACGGGAGCCCCACTGGGCGGTCTGCGCCCTTCGGAGCGGCCATTTTGCAGGGGCCGTGTTCAAGGGTCAGGAGGCTGTGGTCCACAAGGCCATCCACCGCTACACGGTGCGTGCCAAAGCTGGGGGTGCTCAGAGCGCCTGCGACAGCGGGAAGAAGGTGAAAAGCGTGGGCTCGTCTCTGCGGCGTTATGGGGAGACACGCCTGGCCGAGGAGATGCTCGCTTCAATCGACCTTTTGACCTTTTGGCCTTGTGACCCTTTTCGGTTTGCCCCCTGTTGGCAACCATGTTTGGTGGCACCAAGAGGCGATCACCACATTTTTTCTGGGTCCGAATCGGGCTGAGGATCAAAGAGCTGATGACGGACAAGTGGGCGGCCCAGCTGGCTGAGTGCGAGCTGGTCCTGGTCTCGGTGTCAAAGCGGATGAAGTCGACGCTCCTGGGTACAGAAAAGGCTCGGTGGCTCAAATTGGTCTCCTTATGCCGGATGGTGGTTTCCCTTGAGTGATTCATTTCCCAAACTGGGTGTGGACATTGATGTGGTTCCCTTGTACTCGGGAGTGCGGACTAGGATCAGGAATGTGTGTGTGTGTGTTTTCCTCGAATGGTTTTGCTTTTATTGCTTTGAAACGTTTGAGGGTTGCCCTCAAAATGGGCTTTCAGGAACGACATCACCCCGAAGTGCACTAAGATAAGACACCTTCCAAACCAGGGTTCCCCGCACTTTCTGAGAACCACGGCCAGCCCGAAGCTCCGAAGGAGCCCTTCCTCAGCGAGACCAGCCGTGTCCGGAAGCTGCCCTTCATGATCGGCAAGCCCACCTTCGAGGCGGTGCAGGCCATCGGGGGGTTGGTTTGTGCTGGTTGGTTTGTGCTGGCGCGGGGTTTGGAAACCCACCAGGGTGTGGCTCAAATTTTAACAGGAGGGGTTACGCAGGTTTTGGCCTTTGTTTCCACTTACCAGGGTTACATTTTGGTCGGTTTTTTCGAGCCACAGCCACCAAGGCTGGGTTCAATGACCTCGTCGCAGCCAGCTTTTGTGGAGCTTCCCCTGTAAAACCCGCGATTTTGCGATGTTCACCCGTGCACTCGTTGCAGCGGAACCTCTTTTGGCTTCTTCTCTTCTTTTGCCAGCCTTTGGGCTGGTTGTTCCGCTAGGGGAGCCCCAAAATGGGGTGGTTTCCCTTACCAACAACCGGAAGTACCCAGTTTCAAAGACGGAGGCGGCCTATCTGCGTGCCGCCTCCGTGGTCTTTTGCGAGGAGAAGGTGGCAGAGGCGCTGGCTGCACGCTTCAGGCCGAAGCCCGAGAAGGAGAAGAAGAAGGAGGCAGAGGGGTCTCAGCCCATTCCACGCTCGTGGCCTCTTTGGGAGCCTTTTTTGGAAGTTGTGAGTTTGTGTTGCAAAAGGGAGACCCACAAATTCTCAGCCAATTCATGCTAGTTTTTTTGTTGTTGCCCCCCCCTTTTTTTTTTTTTTTGGGGGGGGGGTGTATCTTATTCTTGTTTGGTGTGTGTCTCTGTGTGTGTGTGTGTGTGTTTGCGTTTCTTCCTGGAAGCCAAAGGACAACACACACACACACACACATTTTTTTGGGTTCCCGCAACAGGCCCAACATATGTTGATATCCTCCAGTCCACGTTGCCATGGAACCTAGAAGAGGGTCGTTTTTTTGTTGGAACCTAGCGTTCCAGGAGGCCCTGAGGCTGGGGTCTCAGCCAAGTATGGGTAGCTCGTTTTTTTCCCCTTCTTCCTCTGCTTTCCCGGATGGTACGCCTTTCAAAAGGAAAACCACACAAAATTGAGGGTCCCGTATTTTGAGGTCAACCCCCAATGTTGCTACATTCTTCTTCTTCTTTTTCCTTACCCTGTTCCCCAGGCATGTATTTGAGCACTGGACCGTTGAATCCGACCCCCAGGAGCTTCCGGCTTCCGAGGCGGTTGCGGCGGTCGAGGAGGAGGAGGAGGAGGTGGCGAAGTATTGCGAGGAGGAGGACGTGCATGGGTGTCCTTTTTGGTTGTTTTGCTTTAAAAAATGGAGGGCCCTGGTTTAGATGGGGTTTATTCCATTTAGGGCCATCTCTTTTCCAAAAGTCCACCTATGAGGACGTGTTGTTCGGTGCTTTGCACGCGGCCGCCCTGGCGGACGACGTGACGAGGATCCTGGAGGAGCTGGATGGCGGCGCAGACCCGCGGGCGCGGGATAGCAAGGGCCGGGTGCCCTACTACCTCTGCACCACCCAGGCCAAACGCCCAGGGGGAAAAGCAACGCCTTAGGTTTCAGAATCTCAGTTCAAAGATCCTGCTGGCAGCTTCTTTCACCTTTTGGTCCACTTTTAGTCAAGGTCCCAGAAGGCGCAGGCGGAGCGTGTTTCTTTTTTCTGGGTCCCTAAGGGGCAAAGGAGGACTTAGAGCCATCAACACCTGGTTATATTCGGCGCGCAGGCCCCGTTTTGAGTCGTTTGGGTGCTCGGATCGATCGGTCCCTTCAGGTTTTGATTGCAACTCAGATGTTTTTTCTTTTTCCTTAAATGGTTCTTCAATCCCCTGAAATTGAACGCATACCCCACTTGAACCTCCGCATTTTTGGTTTCTTGAAGGTTTCTTTAACTTCAAAGGAGTTGCTTCTGGACAAGTTCGACCACCCCAGCCCCATTTCTTTGAAGGAGTTCCCCCCCCCGTTCTTCAAGCGTTCCAACCCTGGCCGGCCGAAGCTCCGAAGCTCCGAAGCTCCGAAGCTCCGAAGCTCCGAAGCTCCGCAGGCGGCGCGGGAGGCCTTCCGGCGCTGGCGGGGCGGCAACGAGGAGGCCTGGGACTGGACGGCGGCGCAGGTGCCCGAGGGCATCACCGACGAGAGCGAGCAGAAGCGGCGGGAGAAAGAGAAGGCGGGGGGTGAAGGCGTTGGGGGGGGGAACGAGGGGACTTGGGGAACTGGGGGAACTCTTTCTATACGACCCTCTTGGGTTTTAGGCGAGGTTTCACGGGGAAAATGCCCTGGGGCGCCGCTTGGGTGTGCCGTTGCTTGGAAGATCACGGTGAAGAGCCCACGAGGGCGAGAGGGCCCGTGTTGGGGTAGTAAATGTTGACCCCGGATTAATCAACCCCTGGTTGATTTAAATGGGGCCCTTTTTAGTGGGGATTCATCACTTTTGGAGGGAACACCCCCCTAATAATGGGACGGGTTTATTCATCCCGGGTCAACATTAGAGGGACCCCAAGGAGAAGAGGAAGAAGCAGAAGGAGAAGCAGAAGGCGAGCAAGGCCAAGGCCAAGGAGGAAGAGGAGGACAGGCTGCGCAAGGAGGAGGAGGAGCGGCGCATCTTGGAAGAGGCCCAGGCCAAATGCGAGAAGTGCCGGAAGCCTTTGTCCTCCAAGCCCTTCACCCGGCTCAACTTCTTGTACTGCTCCCCCGAGTGTGTGAATGGTCACCGGAGGGACTTGCAGGCGGAGGCGGCCTTGAAGCGATTGGGCTGAAGGTCGCGAGAGAGACGCAGGTGAAATGAGCCTCGAGCAGCTGGCGAAATGAACCTGGCGAAGCCGCAAAAGGAGTGACGGAGTGGCATTCTTGCAAATCATGCCCGGGGGGCATGACCATGATCTGTGAGGTGCAGCGGGCCAAATTATGTGTGATGGGCCTGAATCCCCTGAACTTGTTGAACCCCCCGAACTTGACGACATTTGAGATCAGAATGCGCAAAGTGGGCTTTGGCTTTGCAGATTCGCGGCTCAAGGTATGTTAGGTTCTACCCGGGCAAATGCCCGGTTTGTTTGACATGGCACTTTTCGCCGCATGGCTGCCACACCTCGCCGGCGCCCGAGTGCTCGGGAAGATGCGATCCGTGATCTGGACGTCAGAGGGACTTTTTCCAGACACGTGCAAGATGGGTTCGGTGCCATGGAACAGCAAAGCATGATCTCCCATGTCCAGTTTTCGAAACAGCAAAACAGGTTGCCCAACTAACAAAGATGCAGAGAGTTGCAGACATGCGACTTGACAAAGGCACAAGGCACAAGGTCCGCACACAGAAGCATATATTCAGATACCAACATAAAGTCTTCTTTCGGATGCAGGAAGCCACCGGAGCCTGAGGTGCTGGCAATTTCACATGACCGAGCTGCCCAAGTGCACGCTGACGGCAGCAATTCGTGGCCGTGGGCTGCAAGGCGTCGCTGCCGCGCGATTTTTGTGGAACTCGAAAGCGACAGTGAGCAAGAAAAACAAGCCGCCCAGATTTTGGATCAGCTCAGACCTCCTGCAAAGCCATTTTTCTTTGAACTCGAGCCTTTTCTGGGTTCCATGTCGACGTTAACGTATTTTGGGCTCAGATTTTAAAAGGGGACCCCCCAACAGTGCGGGTCTTGAAGATGACTCGAAGTGTGGCGAGGAGGAACTTTACCCAAACCCCCTGGCAGGAGTGAGCCGAGCCCGTTACTGCGGCACCAGGCACAGACATGTCTTTCTTTGGGGGGCGTGAAAGTTTGGCCTTTCGTCGCGCTGCTTTGGGAGGCCGTGCCTGACGACGCTTCGCAACAGTTAGCCGCCTCGGGCCGCCACCACCACCACCACTATCATAGGGCCGCTGTTTTGGCCGCGGCTTCTGGCAAGGTGCGTGCACCCGATGCGGTTGCTTCCACCACAGGGACGACCACACACCGCGCCATAGCGAACGAGATTTTCTACTCGCCGAATGAGACCTCCGATGCCAACATCCAGGCCATCATGGATATGACAATCACGGGAGGAGACGAGCACGAAGGATGGCCATGGGAATCAGAGGAGGCGAAGCTCAGGGAGGCCGCCAAGCACTTGACCACGAGCGCTCCAGGGGCTGCCGGTGTCATCATCAGCAGCCTCTTCGGGGAACCTGGTGACACCGGAGTGCGCGGCGACGTGGGGCCCCGGGGATTCGCTGGGCCTCCTGGCCCTCCTGGTCCTGCCGGCCGAGGGCCTTCGGGGGGTGAAGGGCCCAAAGGGCCCCACGGGCCGCGTGGGCCTCATGGCCCTGCAGGCCTACAGGGCCGGAGCCCCAGAGCAACAGTCTGACTGCTCCTTCTGGCTCCGATTGCTCGAGGCTTTCCTGGTCCAGAAGGTCCGGTAGGCGATGCGCCTGTTGAGGTCTACACCTGGAAGAAGATCTTGGAGTCTTGGCTGAGCAAAAGGGGTATGGCCGCAGTTGGTTCGGCCCTGCCTTGAAATGCACGCTCCATTGGCCAAGGCCACCTATGACAACGTTCTTGAGAACATGGAGACCACTGTGGGAAGGCGTGGCTGGCGGTTTCAAGTTCTTGTGTCCGCGCTTCTTTGCAGGAAGAACCGGGCCGTCAACAAGGACTTGGGCTTGATGCACCAGCAGGCAGCGGACCCTCTGAGCCCTTCACGTTTTGGCGGCACGGTCTGTGCGCCAGGCCGCGCTGTTCCACGCGCGCCATAGCGGCATCCGGAATGGCCGCTTGGCCCGAAAGAGCCGTCTCGCGGGCCGCAGGCCTGCTTGGAGCACACTTTTGGCTTTCTGGATGCCCAGGGGCCATGCGCTTGCACGGGTACCTGCTGAACTCCTTCTCCAAGGTGGCTGCATCGCTGCCGGGAGCCAAGCTTTCGTGGCAGGGAGAGTTGCCAAAGTCGGTGGCTCCAAACCCTTTGCCTGGTGCCTTGGATAAGATTTTTCTTGGCCCAAGGTCCCAGGCAGCCCGGCTAGACCGCACAGTCGAGACCATGAGCAAGCCCACACCAAGGCAGGCTTGGGATAACCAGCTCGATGCTTCAGAATCCCAGAGAGGCTGCAAGCCATTCCGCAGCGGCACTTCAACCTTGACATGCACACAGGTTGACAGGGTTGTCTTGCATTGCCTCGGTATCGGTTTTGTTCGGTTTGGGTTGGGCACTCAAGCCCGCCTCGCTTTTGGCACCCGGCATGACGCTTAGCACCCCAGGCAGGCGCTGAAGGATGCCGAGATGCTGTTGCCCGTGGTGCCGCCCGACTGCAACGAACTGTTGCAGTCCAGTCCTTGAGCCTTAGGACCACTTACATCAAGGCTTGACTCCTTTACGCCCCCCGTTGCTTCACTTTCTTCGCAAGAGCGATTTTTGAACCCCAAAATTTTCGAGCAAGAAGCAAACGTTTACGATTTTCGCAGCCCGAGGCAGGCCCAAGAGCACATGATTGAGCGCTCCGAGATGGCGGCCTCTCATGGCCACCGCATGCCTGGGGCTTCCTTGATGGAAAAGGACAGCTCCCTCCGTGCGGCTTGGCTTGGAAGAGCCGGCCCTACAAATTTGTGTAAAAGAAACCGATAGGAAAGCCACGGTTGTTGTCGGTGTGCCAAAACCTGTTTGGCAGCTAGCCAGTTTTCAACTTGGGCGTGGATTGGTAGAGGAAGAGCGAAATGTCACAAGTGGTGCAATAGAGCTTGTTTCTTGCAGCACTTGTTCCTCTGCCATGGGATTGGCTGAGCTGGGAGATTGGAGCGCCCAGGCTTCCAGTTGCATCGCGCTGTGCCTCTGTTGGCCGCCCTCTCAGCACAGGCTTGTCCTAAGGCTTGCTCTGATTTTTGCCTGCCGAGGCTTCTGCGCTTGTTGTGACACATCGCGCCGGTGATTCACCATGTCAGCTGATTCGCGCCGCTTCAGTCAGCAAGGCTTCAAAAAGGGTCGGCGCCAGCTGAGACATGTCAGACATGCATGTACCTTTTCCACCCTCGCACTTTTGCCGCATCCACCGGGAGGGGAGGGTCGCAGCGCAATTGCCGCCTGTGCCGCAGTTTTCGCTCCTTGGGGCCCGTGGCGCGTATGGTGTCCTTCATTGCCGGGCATTACTCATGCCGAGAACGCATATGGGTCTCGGGCTCGGGCGTTGGGCATCGAAGGGCAGTGGACCCCTGGAACTTTGAATGCTCACTTGCCCAAAGCCGAGCTTTTGAAACCTTTTGGTTTCCCCGTTTTGGTCCACTTTTTGTCATAGCAACCCAACAAAGGTGATCACCTTTTATTAATGTCTGACAGTCCGGGAGAGGGCTGGCTCTGCGCGAGGATGGGCGAAGCGCAGCGTTGACAAGGAGAAGCACAAGCTGGAGGAGGAGAAGCGAAAGAAGCAGGAGGAGGAGCAAATGCAGGAGATGATGAAGCAGCAGGAAATGCGTCTTGAATGCATTCGGTCTTTTGCTACATATCAGGAACACCGCTCCAGGTTGGTTTCCTTGGCCTGCCTTTGAAACCATCCAAGCAGGTTCCCCCACCTCTTTGGCAAACTGTGGCTTTGGGGTCCCAGGATGTTCCAGCAGATGGCCGCAGCCATGCCAATGATGGGTGCATGGAATTCCGGGGGCTGGAATGAGTTCGAGGGATGGGATGGCTATGATGGTCCCGGGCCCTGTCCTGGGGGCCCCGGCATGGGCATGGGCGGCATGGGCAGCATGGGCAGCATGGGTGGCATGGGTGGCATGGGTGGCATGGGCCCGGCTGGTGGCAGCATGGCGAGCGCTGGCACGGCCGGATCTGCGCCGTCCGCTCCGTGCCCCCCGTCGGCCCCGTCGCGGCCGCCAGGCGCAGGGTTTGCTGCCGCTTCATGCCCTGCCCACGAGTTTTTGGCACAACGACTTCAGGAAGAAGCAGGTTGCTTGTGCAATCGCTGCCTTTGCAAGGATTCCGGCATTTTCTGTGAACCCTGAGGCGTGCGACCCTCGGTGGTGCCTCCCAGGAACGAGCTGAGACCGAGCGGGCCCAACTTGCCGAGGACGCGAGTCAATGCCGAGAGTTACCACGGGCGACCCGGCTGCACAAAGGATAAGGTGAAAGAGCGCACCCCCCATTTTTTTGGGTTTGGGTCAGGTGACTATTTGCAAAAAGCTGTGAGGCTTTTGAAAGGTTACGCGAGTGGAGTGATTTCTCTGGGTATTTGCTTGTGGGATGTTTGTGGCATGCTCCTCTGCATCATTCCGAGGACCGTTCTCGAATGGAGAGGGAAATTCGGCTGGATAGAGCCCTGGCTGGCACTTCGTTCGGCGCTAGCTAAATTGAGCTAGTTGCGTTTACCTCAAGCCACTCTGAATGGACTTGGCTTGCTTTTGCTTGAGCGAGTCGACTGCCGGTGGTCGTTGCGCATCTGCGAGGAACCATTTCCGGCGATTGAACATCCTCTGGCGCAAAAGCATGGCGGCAAAGTTTACGCCGCTTCAGCCAGTCTTAGCAAGAGTTGTGGCCTGCGAAGATGTCAGCAAATGGGGCTTAGGGATATTTGCCTTGCCGGGGCGCTGATGAGTGTTCTTTGAGGTTGGCCAGGGTTACACGACTAGCATCCGGGCAGGGAACGGGTCCCGCGCGGTTCGCTTTGGAGAAGCCCTCCTTCTGAGGTATCCGTGGGCGATGTGAAGAAGGGAAGCAGCACCTCAGCCTCCGGAGGGGCAGAAGCGGTTTTGGGGGGGGGGGAGGGGTTTTCTAACATGTGTTGCTCCAATCGATTCCAATCGCTCACTTGCAAATGGGGGAAAGAAACAAAAATGGCGAACCGACCCTCTTGGCCTTTTGACTTGCCCATTTGGGTGTGGCTCAAAAAATTAAACGGGAGGGGCAAACCGCAGGTTTTGGGCCACGTTTGCACTTACCGATCGGATTTTTCTCGGTCAGGCTGATCACCGGGAAAAAAAGAAAAAAATCGGCGATCGCCGGGGTCCGAGGCCTGGAAGCTGGTCAGTTGGTCAAGTGACGCGCTGAGTCGGGGGATCTTCAAACGAAAGGGCCAGGCTTCCGATGCTTCCGGTTCTTGGGCCACAGTTTTTGGCCACATTTTGTGGATTCCCAGAGGAATCCGCAACCTTGGTACCACAGAAAGGGTTGTCTTCAATGCAAAGCAAATTGACCAGCCCTTGACTTGAGTCTTTGCCGGTTGCGGCCTCCAGCCCCCTTTTCGGCTCTCACGGTCCGAGGTTTAGACTCTATCACGACGCAAGTGGCCTGGGAGCCGAAGAGTGCGAGGTAGTGTGACCTGAAAGACCCAAAGTGCGGCGTTTGAAAACTCCCGTGCGCACCGTTGCTCAGCTCTGTTCCTGGACAGGAAGCAATGAAAATAGCTTCTTCCTTTTGCTGACAATAGCAAGTGTTCTGTCCTGGAGGACCCACTTTTGTCCCGGGAGGCCCAGCTTTTCTTTCCCCGAGTTCGAAGTCTGAAGTCCGGTCATTCGGAAGGGCTCTTGATTGAACTCAGCTTCCAGAACTTCCGCGAGTCTTGAGATGCTCCACTGTAAGCAGGGGTTTCCCTCCCCACTATGTCAGGAAATGGTTTGGCCCTGGGAAGTCTGGGGGGTTCCAGGGTTCATGTTCATCTGCTGGGGGAGCGACTCAGTAGAGTCGTTGCTGTAACTCCGGGAAGCGCCTTGTGCTTCGCGTTTTCCATTTTGGTCAATGCACGTTTCGTGGTGGCATGGCCTGCCAATTGCCCATCCACGCACAACATCTTCAGGGTTCCCAGTCTATGCCCTCGTGTTTTTGATTTTTTTGAGCAGCACCTGGGCCAATGTTTCCAGAGAGAGTTTCCTGCTGGGGTGATGTCTGCAGGGGGAAGTGTGCGGAACCCTGATTTTTTTTTTGGGGGGGGGAACGTGCGCCACAACGTGCCCCTTAAGCAGGTTTCCTGGGTGGGTGGGCGGGACGGAGTCATTGCCGCGGAAAATTGGGCGCGGCGCACCCCTCACCCTCAGCTGGCTCAAGCGGGGGGTGCCATGCCATGGTGACATGGGGCCCGAGGGGCCCGAGGGGCCCGAGGGGCCGGAAGGGCCGGAGCAGCCCCTCCGGCAAATCGACTTCTCCCCACGTCAAAACCTCGGGTGCTCCCTTGAAACGGACAAATTGGTCTTCCAACACCCCTGAAGCTCAGTTATTTCCTGAAAACGGGAAACTTGGGAGTCCACAATGCCCTTGTCGGGCTCCATGTCAATTGGTGGGAGGGTAACTCCCTTGAGTTGTGCGGCAAAGGGTCCAGCAGCGCCTTGTTCTCATAGTTGAGACCTTTTAGGACCCATCCGCCAGTGATCGGCTGGTATAGCAGCGTCCAGTTTGCGGCGTTGTCCTTTTTTTTGACACTGAGTTGTTCAATTCAGCCTTGGACAGATGCCACTTCGCCCCGACGAAACGCAAACAGCTTGCCCTTTCCATTTGGCTTCTTAATCATGGGTTTGTTTGAAAACACTAGGCACCCCCAGAATCAGTGGTTTCCCTTTGCTATCCCATAAAATCAACCAAAAAGGTTTCACTAAAAAGCAAGACACCCATTTTTGAGGGACCCTGGACCCGACCCCAAACATGGGCTGTTCCGAGCTTTTCCCGAGGCCTGCGCTCACGGCTGCGGAGATTGAGGAGTACAGCCGCATCAAGTGCTGCGTCTGCGGGGAGCGGGTCAAAGCCGAGGATGTGCCCGAGCACTCGCGGAGCTGTGTGCTGGCGCCGGCCCCGAATTTGCGGCTGCAGCTGGACAAGTTCCTCGAAGAAAACCAGCCGTAAGTAGTTGAACGGCACAAAGCCTTGCAAGACTGAACTCAACGTGTGTTTTGTTTTGATTCCTTTCGGCTTTACTTTGTTTTCCCTTTGCACCAGCTTAAGCCAGACTTAGCTAAGATGCAAAAGGGTTCATTGCCAACTGAGCCGGGGCCAGTAAAAGAGTCCAGGAGTAGAAACACCCACATACACACCCACACACACCGAAAACACACACCCACACACCCACACACCCACACACCCACACACCCACACACCCACACACCCACACACCCACACACCCACACACCCACACACCCACACACCCACACACCCACACACCCACACACCCACACACCCACACACCCACACACCCACACACACCCCACACACCCACACACCCACACACCCACACACCCACACACCCACACACCCACACACCCACACACCCACACACCCACACACCCACACACCCACACACCCACACACCCACACACCCACACACCCACACACCCACACTCCCACACGCCCACACGCCCACACGCCCACACGCCCACACGCCCACACGCCCACACGCCCACACGCCCACACGCCCACACGCCCACACGCCCACACGCCCACACGCCCACACGCCCACACGCCCACACGCCCACACGCCCACACGCCCACACGCCCACACGCCCACACGCCCACACGCCCACACGCCCGCACGCCCGCACGCCCGCAC